GGTGAAGAATTGGTTAAAGAGGTCCGCTTTCTCCTCTGACGCAACCACCAGATTGCCCAGCGTATCCTGCAGGGGTCCCACATTACCCGGCGCCTTCTTCATCCTCCCAATATATTTGAAAAAGGACTTTTTGTTATCCTTAATCCTGGACGCTAATCCGAGCTCTATGTCCGCCTTGGCCTTCCTAACAGCTCGCCTACAGGCCCGAGCAGAGGAGGTATACTCCTCTTTGGAGATTTCACCCCCCTTCCACCGGGCGTACGCCTTCCATCCTCACATCCGTACTAAATTTATCTTATTTTGGGACTCATACTAATGGTGGACCCTGAGATATATAACCTTGCACACATGGCAGTTCTAAAACAACGCAGCAGAGATGCTTTGCTTTCCAGATGATAAGTGTCAGCAGCAAGTACAGCTCATTTGGTGCTGAACACAGTATAGCATTCAGCACCAAAGTACAAATATAAAGAAACCCAAGCCGCTTTTAGCACCATTTTAGAAAGTGATCAGTTTGACTCTGGATTCTGAAAGTGCCAAGCAAGACTTACCTTTTTTTCACACATGCCACAAAGCAGTGCTACCTTAGTCACATTTTGCAGAAGATATCTTAACATTATAGGGCTGTTGGTTGCAGCTGTGTTGGTCTAAGGATGTGTCTGCCTATGTCCTTACGATATCACATTTATCCAAAAAACCTTGTCTTAACGTTACATTATAGATAAATAGCCATGGAACAAAATTACTTCTAAACTAAGATATTTAAGTCACTGTTACAGTTTTTTGCATATGAACACTTCACAGAACAAGCACTCATTTTCTGACCTCACTATCTACCTGCTCAAAGTAAATTTACAAAAAACCAAAAGGTGACAGCCTGGGAACAAAAATTCCTAAACTGACTAGATAGTAACAGCAAAGGACTGAATACTGATACTGACTTCATGGCACACTAAGCTTTACCTGACTCCTACTAATCTTTCTTCACACCAGAGGTGATAATGACGGTCTTCCCTTTTGAAAGGTCTTGATCTTCTAACTAATAAAGGTCTTGATCTTCCAATTAATCAAATCCTTTCTTCCGTGGTTTTCTTGTTGGCTGCCCTGGGAAGGTCTCTCTTCTCCAGTTTTACAGCCTTGCAAACTGTTTTTTGTGCTTATATCGGCTTCTTTCTCAGACCTGAAAGAAGAATGCACTGCATTCAAAACCTTGCTTAAGTCTATACCAACCATGCTGTTGGTCCAATAAAATATATCACCCCAAAAAATCCTTGCCTCTCATATTTCTTAGACCATCATGGCTACATTACTCCACATTACCAATGGATACCTTGAATACTTAATAAGTTGTGATAAACCATTTACTAATTTAGTACAGAAGTTTACTGTTTACTCTTCAGAAATGTCTTATCTCTGTGTATTTTATTGGATTTGGGATTGATTTAGCAACAGTGAATTGACAGAATCATTAAAAGGAATTGACTTATGAAGAAAGGAAGATACCAGTAATTCTGGACAATTCCCTTAATTTATATTCTACATATTTAAGAAAAGCTTGCTCTTTCTTAGAAATTAGAACTTCTTAATCATATTTTTGTTTCTCTCAGAGAAATCCTGGAGCATACTAATAGTGAAATAAAAGGAAAAGAAACTAACATTATTTTAATAGAATGACCAAGGATTTTTTATCTGTGACAAAACAGGACAAATTAAATAGTGTCCAGGTCATGTTCAAAATGAACATAATTCCACAAGATACATTCAGTGGTTCTTAGAATATCTCATTAACTATACAGCTGTCTTCCTTCACAAGCCTGTTTTTTTTAAGGCAACTAATGTCTATTGCAGTCCATAGGAATATTTCAAGTTATTTGCTTAGGTTCTGGATTGAGCTGGTAATAATTATGTCACAAGCCTACTCTTGTGTGACAGTTGTTGGGAATGTTTTTCCACAGAACTCTATTTCCCATTTACTCTAAATAGTTTTGTTTTGGCCAGAAGTAATAAATGTGACTGAGTTTATGCTTTGACTTTCTTTTATAATATTTATGTTGAGCAACATTCAACATTTATTTTGGCTAATCTTATTCTTTCATTTATATGATATTTCTTTTGGAGCTTGTTTCTACAGGTAGAGGTATTTTTTGTGAATGCGTTCCTAATGCAGAAAGGATTTTCTACTGTGGCCCACTACGAAGATCATCATGTTATTATACTGATAACTTCCTGATACCATTGAGCTCTGTAAGCTGAAAGGGTATTTGGAGACAAGTACAGACCACTGTATTGTCTAGTTGGTATAAAAGAAAGAGTGGGCAGAAAGACAAGTACTAAACTTGTCATTTTCTTATTTGTTTTTACAATGTATTTATTCACATAGGCTCCAATTCAGAAGGTATTTATGAATACTTATAACTTTGGATGCTCACAGGTACAATTACTGTCATATTTGTAGGTGATTAAGTACTGCCTTGTATTTCCAGACTCTGTCTACCACGTGTTCTCTCCACTAATTCTCCTGTTTATTTAAAATGGTTATTGCAGTTAGAAAAACAAAAGACTTTACATGGATTCTGGAATGGGCGTTGGAATATCTCTGCTGCTCACAGCTATCATCTATTCTGCACTTGAATTTTTTTTTTTTTAAGGAAAATTTGTTGTGTTCCAAGCCAAGTCAACCCAGTCAATTCCAAATCTGAGTCATTCATGAACCATACGTGGCCCTGCTACTGGCAAACATCCCTTACCCCTCCTGGGGCTTCAGATGCTTCCAAATCCTTTGGCAGCATCCTATGTGCAGGCTCAGGCCCGGAGGCTTGGGGCTCGGATGCTCCCGAGTTTCGCTTGCCCTCAACAATACGGCTTCAGGAGCAAGCTAGGGAGGAGTTTCCCATTTCCATAAGTCAGTGTAGAGCCAAGATCTTCCCAGTGGAAGTGAAAGTGGGTGGCTGGGTATACATTACCTCACTCAAGGTACCTACCAAGAAAGTGGTTTTCCCCTGCAACTAGGAAAACCACCTTCATGGTCACGGTGTTTCCCCTGCCAGGTAAGTGTTATACCTGTCCTATGTATGAGGCACTTTTTAGTGGAGCTTCATAGGTAAGCAGGCAAGTGGTTTCAAAGCACCAAGGAGGTTACTGAAAGAAGGAGCCGGAGAACCCCAGAAGCTGCTGAATGCCGAGTCTGTCTGCTAAACGCTTCACCTCGGTGGGGATGGGGATGGGATGGGGCGGGGGGCACCTTGCACTCCCTTAGCACCCCCCACCCCCCGGCAGCCAAGGGCAGAGTGCGGAGCTCCCACGAAACCGGCCGCCTCAGCTCCGGGCAGCTTCACGCTTGGAGAAGCGACACAGGAGTGGGCCTGAAGCAGGCGGAGAGGGGGCCGCCCCCCGGGGCACGGCCTCGCCACAGCCCGGCGCGGAGCCGTCGGGTCCGCAGAGGAGCTTCTGCTCGTGGCGGCCCGGTGCGGGGGCAAGCTCAGGGGCGGGACAGCCGGCGGCCCCCATGGAGCCGCTTGTCCCCGCGCAGCCGGGCTTCGGGACCCGGGAGGCGACACAGCAGCGGCCGGGCCGGGGGCGCCGGGCATCTCGATGGGCGG